AATGCAGACAGAATTGTGTCAATGAACTTGATGATGTCATTGACAAACATGTTGCTAATGAACTCAGATATACCATCAAATGGTAGATGAAAATCACCCTCGAAGACATGAGATAGAGCACAATCAGTTCTCTCTTGTCGTAGAATTGCCTCGCTGGCGAAGGACCTCACTGGAAGAGGAGGCGACGCTGGAGTGCTAGTAGAGATGACAGTGACAGTTGTGGCAACTTGTGACTCTAGCAAGATGAAAAGCTCGTCGTCCTTTCACTAGAGGACTGACGGAAGTAGAGCTGATCTAAATGGTGGAAAGAAAACCTACTCGAAATGGCAGGATATCATGCCTATAAACGGTGGAAAGACAACACGCCTCAAACGGCACAATAAGTGCTTCATGATGAAACCCTAGCTAGACAAAGCCGACGCTAAACAGAGGCAGCAGCAGTGGCGCTCCCTTAGGTAGGAGATGTCAAACAAGACCGATGCCAAATAGAGGTGGAAGCAACAGTGGTGGATGCGGCAGCAGCAGGGCCTCCCTCAGGTAGGAGATGGTGAACAAGAGCTGATGAAACCCTAGCGAAATGAAACCCGCTCTGATACCATGTTGTAAATAGAGAAACGATATTTGTCACAGAGAATAGAGGGGAGAACGGAGGAAACCGCCTTAATTCCGTTCAACCATTAGACCCCTTAATATAGGGATAAATCTAAGACACTTTTTCAAAAACACCCAAACTAATTACACTATTGTCCTACGACCTAAAACTTTCAACACCACCCACTAATTTGGGGACGCATCATCATCACCTTGTTCTTGCAGTTGGCTCGTTGATCAAGTGCATTGAATTTTCTAAGTGGCATACCTACTTTTATGAGGTCAAAATTAAGTCAAAATAGTAAACTCCAAAAGCAAACCTACTTTTATTAAATCAAAATTAAGAGGTGGGTCCCCAAAAGCAAATACACTCCAAAAAATAAAATAAAAATTCTAAAACGGCATAAACGAAAATAATAAATTAATAAAAAAACAAATCAAACTATGAACGACCAACTTGGGTTGGGTCAGTATACTCGTGCTTTATTAGGACCCAATAAGATTTTGGGCCGTCTTTTAACATTCTCTTTTTTACGGCTCAATTAGTATTCTTACCTGCTTCATGACGTCGCTCCCTCTCTATGATTATATAGGTTAGATGAAGGGATATAGATGAGGAGAACATGATTTGTGGGGGTGGTAGAATGAAGGGAGAGTAATTACTCGCTCGGGAGGAGAGGGAAAGAGCTATCAAAAGCCAAGAGGACAAGGAGATGGGCAAGGAAGGAGAAAATAATAGACGAGCAAGAGAGAGAGAGAGAGAGAGATGGCCAAGGGAGAAGAATAGTAGATGATGCAGAGGGTGAGAGAGAATAAGATCACCTAGGGTCACAAGACAGAATTTGTCGTGGCTTATGGCCGCAAGACAAATGAACAAATGGCGTTGTACACAGAATAATCCATCAAAAGAAAGAACTGGACTCTCTCTCTCTCTCTCTCTTCCTTCCCTCTATCTTTATCTCCCTCTCTCGCTCACTCTCTCTATATCAGGCGTTGACCAGAGCACAGTGCCTCCTGATCTCTCCTCGCGCACCGGTGAGGACGCCGATGCTGCCCATCTTCCCCATGGCGACACCGAAGTCGCGGAAGAACTTGGAGGCGCTCCCGGTGTACTGGTACACCAGGTCCCTGGTCACCTTGTCGCGGAGCAGCGCGGCATCGGAGTGGAAGAGTCCCTTCCCATTGACCACTCGAACGTAGTAGCTCGTGTCGAAGCTGACGGCGCGCCCCGGGTCCATCTCCACGATGCTGGTCTCGTCCCCTCGCGGGCACTGCGACCTCAGCTTCCGGGCGTACGCGGGGGCCAGAGACGGGTCCCTATCGCCCTTCCCGGTGAAGTTGTAGAGCCTCTTGCTGAAGGCGTTGCAGTGGGCGTTCCCGATGGTGTGGGATCCTGACAAGCAACATCAGAGTCATCGTCAAGTTAGATAGAAGAACGCTTGAAACCCGCAGACCGCTCGCCGGAGGAGGGCGACTGGAGCAGCAGAAACAACCGACCGACAGATCGACCTGAGAGAACTGCGAGGTCCTTGGCGCTGAGGCCCTTCCTCGCGAAGTTTGCTTTCAGTTCGGTTATCTCCCCGAAGGACGACGGCAGGTTGGCAACAGCTTCCGACCCGACGACACGCGCCCGTCCCGCCGCCCGGTCTTAACACGCCAGCTCGGCCCGTTGATCTGAATCCGCATAACACAGCAGACACGGTTAGCGGGAGGGGTAAAGAACGGATTGACGGAACTCGATGTCTCTCTCCATCGGAAGAGAAGCGACCCTCGCGAGTGATTGATTGATCAATTACCAGCTCGACCCCGTCCCTGGCAGCGAGAGCGACGATGTCGGCGCACGAGACGACCCCCGGGCATGCCACCTCCACGGCCGCCTTGGCGGCGTCGATCACGTAAAACCCGTCGAGGCTTAGGTTGGGCATCGCGTCCTTCTCGGCGAGACGGCCCTTGGTGGAGTTGAGCAGCACTGAGCCGTCGCAACCCTTGCAAAAGGACAGCAATAGCAAGACGGCCAGCTAGAACGTTAGGATGATGTGATCGTCACTAACGACGGAGTGAGAAGAGGCGCGCGCCGAAGCGCGGCGAGCCGGCGGTGGGAGTGGCGTTCTCGCATACCCTGACGAAGCAGTCGTGGAAGTGAAGCCTGAGGAGCGGCGCCGCCACGGTCGCGTCCTTCGCGACGAAGCCGGCTACCGTCTCCCGCACGATGGTCTCTGCCTTGGGGCACGTCTTCTTGTAGAACCCGACCCTAAGGCCCTGAGCATCCGCCGCCCCGAAGAGGACGGCGAGGAGAGCTGTACAGACCAAGAACGTCAAGAACGAGCTCCTCGACGCCATCATTCTCTCTCTGTGTCTCTCTGGGAACTCACTCTCCGTTCAGAAGGACGAAGTGACCTTGAACGATCTCAAGCCGTGCTTATATACACATCTCCAAGAACTCATCTCGTCACCTCGCTTGGTTTCTTTGTAAATGTCGGAGAGTACTTGACAGCTGGATGGCAGATCCCTTTTGGGATCAAATCAATTGGATTTAGACGGCTGACGTTGATCTCTCTCTCTCTCTCTCTCTCTTTCTCTCGCTCGAGAATATCACGGGGTGGGTTTGACTAGGTCTGGCGCGTGGAGGCCACACGCCTCGGCAGCTATTCTGCGTGCTGCCGCCCACCGGGGTTTGGACTTCTTCATGTCATGGCTTGCGTAAGCACATAGCAGATTCCTCCACCATTACACGTGATTTCTTAGTTGGGAGTGCTCGGCGACTCCCCGATAGGATAAGCTACTCTGTGGAAGTCCGTAGTCTAGTTTCCTGTGCCAAATCGATCAAATTGTCCGTAATCATGTCCAAATATTTTATTATATGAAGTCGCGAACTTTCTCTGATCCGCCGACAGCTGGGATTCGAAAGCTATGACTCTTCGTCGTCACCATATTCCTGATCTTCTTCCTTGCCTGGTTTGCCTTGAGGATCGGCGCTGAGAACACCGTGTCAAAGCATCAGAAGATTCCAAGTTCTCCCCTTACCATGGACCAGACGCCCATAAATAAAAAAGTTCAGAACCTGTGTGCTCTCCACGCGCTTACGGCTAACGAGTAGCGGAGGAAGGAGGAGAAGGCAAAGGAATATTCAGACCACGGTAGCGGCCGACGACCAACACCACCAACCATGTGTGAACACAACGGCCCGCTGACCATCTCCCAGCGATGCCAAAGCTGGGGCTTGTGGAGGCCACGCGGCCTCTTTCGTGGATCCGATCTTCTCAATATCCAGCAAGGAAGCTGCAGAAGAGGTGAGAGGGAGATGAAGGCCGATATCAAAGCAGGTAAAAAATACAGTAGATCATTAAAAAGGGGTAAATACTAAATTCATCGACATTATATATTCAGAAAAAGTGAATTAAAATAAAATTTCTTAAACCTTTCCCAATAGGGAAGTCAATGGGCTGGTAGATTATTGCTCACCGTCAAGTTGTTAAACCCATATTTTAACGTGGGTAAGAAGAAAAGTCCATCAAAAAGCTCAACAGTCGGCAGAGCGTAGCATCGGCTGACGGATGCTATTTACTTTTTCTTTTCCGCAAGTCCATAAACTATTTGAAGTAGTCAACCAGTTAAATGTCTTTGTCTACTGGGTGAGTAGAAAGGTTTACAAAACAAGCACCGTTACAGAGACAGGGATAGAGAGAGAAAATGAGAAGTAGAACTATTTAAGATGGATTATAACTCAAGCTCATGAGGGCAAAATAGACAACGTTAGGCAACAAAGCTCTGTCGAGCTTCTGTTCTTCGCTGATGCGCCCAGTTCTTTCTCTCTCTCGATCTATCGCGTAGGCAATGATTGTTTGCTTGTGTAAAAGCCTCAGTAAGGTAAAATACTAATACGACACGCGGAGTCCATCTAAATTTGGATGGAGATTGACTCGGCCACCGTGACGCAAGTGGCTGTTCGGATGTCTTCGTCGCTCATACGCCGACAAGATTTGTCATCTCCTTTGTTAAAAATCAAGGAGAACAGAAGGGAATCCCGTGTGGTGCTCATCGAGGCAGTCCTTAAGGCGCGTGGTTTCCACAAGCCTAGAAAACTTTGGAGGCTTGGAGAAGATGATCTGGCCAAACATCCCCCGTCATATTCTGGAGCGAGCGAGAGAGAGAGAGAGAGGGAGGTCCACATCAGTCATCTAGATCCAATTCATCTGATGCTGAAAGTCATCTGCGATCCAGTTGTCAAGTTCTCTCCTAATAAAAAAAAAAGAGAGGAGGAAAACCAACGTTTTATGAAGAAAACCAATAGAGATGTTGAGATGAGGTTCTTTGAGATGTGTATATAAGCAGAGTATTGATATCATTCATGATCACTTCGACCTTCTAAACGGAGACTTTAGTTCCCATAGAGACACACAGAGAGGCCGATGGCGTTGAGGAGCTCGTTCTTAACATTCTTGGTCTGTGCAGCTCTCCTCCCCGTCCTCTTCAAGGCGGTGGATGCTCAGGGCCTGAAGGTGGGGTTCTACAAGAAGACGTGCCCCAAGGCCGAGACCATCGTGCGGCAGACGGTGGCCAGCTTCGTCGCGAAGGATGCGACCGTGGCGGCGCCACTGCTCAGCCTGCACTTCCACGACTGCTTCGTCAGGGTATGAGACAACGTTACTCCCCCCAACGCCTGTCAGCGCTTCGGCGCGCGCCTCTGCTCATTTCGTCATCAGCGACGATCACATCATCTTGACCTTGTAGCTCCCCATCTTGCTCCTGTTCTTTTGCCAGGGTTGCGACGGCTCGGTGCTGCTCGACTCCACCAAGGGCCATCTCGCCGAGAAGGACGCGACGCCCAACCTAAGTCTTGACGGGTTCGACGTGATAGATACCGCTAAGGCGGCCGTGGAAGCCGCATGCCCGGGGGTCGTCTCGTGCGCCGACATCGTCGCACTCGCCGCAAGGGACGGGGTCGTGCTGGTAATCAATCAATTACAACCACTTGCGGGTAGAAAAATCGAGTTATATCTATCCGTTTTGTAACCCCCACTGGTTAACCGGGTCTTCTATCCTTGTTTATGCCGGTGCAGAACAACGGGCCGAGCTGGCAAGTTGAGACAGGGCGGCGGGACGGGCGCGTGTCGTCGGCGTCGGAAGCCGTCGCCAACCTGCCGTCGCCCTTCACGGAGATCAGCGAACTGAAAGCAATCTTCGCGAGGAAGGGCCTCAGCGCCGAGGACCTCGCAGCCCTCTCAGGTCGGTCGCTCGGTCTGTTGTTTCTGCCGCGCCAGTCGCCCTCCTCCTCCGGCGAGCGGTCTGCGAGTTTCATGCGTTCTTCTTTCTAACTTGATGACGATGACTCTGATGGTGCTTGTCAGGATCCCACACCATCGGGAACGTCCATTCCAACGCATTCACCAAGAGGCTTTACAACTTCACCGGGAAGGGCGACAGGGACCCGTCTCTGTCCCCCGCGTACGCCCAGAAGCTGAGGTCGCAGTGCCCGCGAGGGGACGAGACCAGCATCGTGGAGATGGACCCGGGGAGCGCCGTTAGATTCGATACCAGCTACTACGCTCGAGTGGTCGACCGGAAGGGGATCTTCCGCTCCGATGCCACGCTGCTCCAAGAAAAGGTGACCAGGGACCTGGTGTACCAGTACACCGGGAGCACCTCCGACTTCTTCCACGACTTCGGTGTCTCCATGATAAAGATGGGCAGCATCGGCGTCCTTACGGGGGCGCGAGGAGAGATTCGGAAGCACTGCGCTCTCGTCAACGCCTGATATATATATATATATATATATATCAGGCACAACATCCTGTCTCTCTCGTCAACGCCTGATATATATATAGATATATATGAGAGGGAGAGAGAGAGAGAGAGAGAGAGAGAGAGAGAGAGAGAGAGGGTTACACCGAGTGCAGAAAAATGGAACAATCTCCAACTGCACTGTTCTCGTCGAGTGGAAATATGTAAGATTTCTTTTTGTGAAAATAATCGTACATGTATTTACCTGCCCCTTCCCCCCTCCCCAGGATGGGTACCGGCTGGGTAAATTCGGAGTTTGTTCACCTTCATGAATGACGAAGCGGTGAAGCCATCCTCTGGATTCAAAAGTCCTTGTAATAGAGCATTAGTGGGCCTTAAATATAAAGGACTAATCTTGGTAATCATTAATTTTCTTGCACCTATTTCATGTCTAACTTGATCATAGTTCGAGGTTATACGGTTTCCCATTTGCCTATTATTTTTAAAATTTTATCATTTAAATCCTATTATGTATACGTGTCCTGATTTCATTGGTCAGGCCTGACTTGGGTTGCCGAGATCAATATAGCTAGACATTGACTTCATGTGTATATATGATTTATCATGTGTTCATCAAAAGGTGATAAAATTCATGCTAATAACTCGGTCAAGATAGAGAGAGAGATTATTGGCATTAGATTACTTGTTTCAGATTAATCGCCACATCAATAAATGTTTGCAAGGACATTGTGGATAGTGATGTGATGCTCATCATATTGAACATGATTGTGGATTTTTTTTTGTATATGCTAGATTATCGGTGTATTATTTCTCGATTATGTCATGAAAAATTAGTCTTTAGAATAAAATTTGATGCAAAAAAATATAAATGAGCACAGCATACAATAAGTTACTGTAAATGGTAACAAAGTATGGCGGCTATCTATGCGTTGTCGTCACGAAAAAAACCAATGGGTTGACCAAATGAAGTCGAATCTGTCGCTGAGTGGAAATCCGGGAAAAATATACCTTGTTGACCCATTAAAGACACGCATTTCGGTAAGTAGTGATGAAAAATGAGATAAAGTCGCCTTCGGTAATGACAGATATTTAGTAAGACTACCTCTTTTTGACTTTTTCCTCTGCAAAGAACGATCGCTCGGTAACGACTCCCACCAAAATTCTCTGACCCGACTCTCCGGCGATCTCCCCCCAACCACTCCCCCCGCATCGCCCACCGTCGCATCTCCCCCGCGCCACACCCCTCCCCCGCGTCGGTTGACTAGCCCCCCACTCCTTTCGCGCAGGGGCGCTCGTCCCTTTTCTCCATCCGGGATCCCGAACCGTACCACTCCCGCCGCCCGTCACCGCCCCTTGAACAGCCCGTGCATACCCAGCGGCCTTCGCCTTCTCCCCCTCCAAAACTCCTCAGATTTGGCTTCCGAGGCTTTCCCTCTGTGGCGCCTCCGACCAAAATTCACATCTTTCGGTGTTCCGGTGGTCTTCTTGCGGCAGGTCGATTATCAAGGGCAGATCTCATTTTCGGCGGCAGCACTATCCCATAGAATACCGTACTTGAAGGTGAATCTCTTACTGCATTTATTTTGACGATATGTTGAACTTTTTCCAGAAACGATCTAAAATGGTCGAAATATGATTCACATAACATCCATTTATTATGATTAAGAAACTCAGGGTGAGGAATGTTCTTCATCTATTTAAATGGTTCCTGTGACTATGTTAAATGCTTTTCATTTCCCATGGGTACATTGCAGGAAAAGGCTTAAAATACTGCAAATCTAGGATTCCTTATGTGAAGTATTGTGTGGAGAAGATGGATATATTTATATGAATGCTTTATACGTACACGCATGAATATGAAGATGGAATAGTGGAGAAATTACTATCGCAAAGAACATTTTTGATGGGAGTATATTTGGAATTAGTCTTGATGTAGGAATATTTCATTGAAGACTTTATGTTTGGAAGTTTACCATAGATTGGACCATATAAGTACGAATGATGGAAGATAATTCTACAGTGAACGTGTGGATACTGATCTGGAAGGATCATCGTCACTGAAAATCCTCTCTAGGCGCTGTAAAGTTTGGTCGAGTTGGTCCTTCTTTTAGATGTTAAAGAAGGTTCGGATCCACTCAATCTGAAAGAATGACTAAAATCCGAGTTTGGAGAAATTTTTGTTAGGTTGAATCCTATCTTGCAGGATTAGCCGAATACAGGTCTGCAGGACAAACATGGTTTCCATCATCTGGTTCTTTCTACAAATGAATATTTTATTCAATTCTTTTTTAAATTGATCTTTAGACGAACCATTGAAAAAGTGGTCAAAATGTGGGCTGGACCTGGGTAGTTGATTCCCTTGCTAATTTTTGTTATTATTTTATCGATTTCCGGTAAAAGCAATTGGACGTTAGCAGCCAGGGGATCTCAGTCATCATGGAGAAAGCTGCTTCCCCAGGCCCTTTCATATCTGATTTGGGCTTATTTATCTGTTTTCCTGTTACATTGGGCATTTTTCTATTTTCATTATTACTGCCTAATGTTTTATTAAATGTAGTCAGACTTTTCATTTGAAATTCTTATATAGTTTAGAAAATCTCCAAGCACAATCAACTATTTTTCTCATGTAATGTGCGTTAATTTCTTGTGATAATCATAGTGGCATTATTTTGTATTGGCTCTGTTGCAAAATGAAACTGTCCATGTCATGTACCAGGGGAGTTTGTTCTCACGGTTTTTCTATATCAACTTCTTATTCATCAAGCTAGAATCGTCTTTTCCTGTGAAAATATTTTACATTGCCTTCCATACCTCTGTGATGTTGATGTGAGGTACAAACTTTCTGAAATGTCCCTGAATACACCTAATTTTCTGTCTTGGAGATTTCTAATGAAGCAAAAAACTAAAGTTTAAGGTTTTTTTATTTTTTATTTTTGTTTACAGCATAAAAGGGTGATATCTTCTCACCTGTCCGCAACAAAACCTACTCTTCCACCCCCCAAAAAATGAACTTCCAATTAGTGAATTGGGGCCATCTTTATAGTCACAAGTATATTTCGTATAAAAACTGATTTGGGGTGATTTTTCGCTCGCTCTCATTCACATTTTTATTTCTGTAATAATCAATACAGGACAATTCCTTAAACCTTTTTATATACCATATAAGTGGGATAGTAGTTGAACCCTAAATCCAGATTATTTTGTGATCAATTGAATTATAACTGCAGTATCTCAGTTCTCATGTATGCTTTTCAACTTTAGGCTTGGGGCCAACGATAAAGAACTCCTTGTTGCCTTCCTTGTGTGCTGTAGCATCACTTCTTCAAGTTTCGTAATGGAGGGTTCCTGCATTCGGCTCCAAGCCTGTGCTGGCTTCGGCTTCTTCAATAGGAATCTTCATCAACCAAGGCTCAGAACCTGGCGGGCTGTTGCACCTCTTTCTACTAGACGAGTATATGTCTCCCTCTCCCTCTCTTTATCATGCGGTCATGGTCTACTCTGCCAAAAATATTTTGGGTGCCATATTTTTGCCTTTGTCAATGTTTAATCAATCCATCTTGCCCTCGACAGCTTTTTTAATTTATTGAGCTACCTGCCAAATGCAAAAAATTTCAACCTAATTCTATGTTTTGAAGTTGATGAAAGAATATCTCTAAAGTTTCTTTTGGGCATATTTTCTGACCTAACTGGTCTTATGACAGACACCTCCATAGATCTCTACTGTGATCTACATGGCCTTCCGAATGATATCAATGCTAACCCATTAAACAGAAAGAGGAAGAGCAGGCTTTTTAGTAGCTAAGTGCCTAATAAAGTGAGATGACGAAGACGGTGGGCTGAAAATTATGCCAGCACCGTTGCTATTTAGGTCTACTGCAGCTACTTATCTAACCTGAAAAGAAATTTACCAAGCTGTGACTAAGATTTTGGGTGCTTTCCATAGCCTCAATTGGATGGGTTTTGGTACAATAGGCATAGGAAGGTTTGACCTAATTCTTCTGACACGGGCATCTTAGTTTTGCCATAGTGGTGTTTAGAATCAGTTGAATGTGGCCCAAGACTTCTTCAGATTGGGTATGCGATGGGCATCTCCAATCTAACAAGGTTGTGGTGCTTGGTGCATCATACAGGTTAAATTACTCTTGTCATGAATGAATGGAAGCAAAAAAAATCATTTTTTTGGAGAAGCCAGATTTTTTGGAGAAGAATTGATTAAGTTTCCAGCTACAGAGAATGAAAAGGTTCACAGATTTTATTAGAAATGTAATTAGATGAGCAGACAAAGGTGTGAACAACGTGTGTCAGTCTGTGGGATCTCGATAGAGATTATTTGAATATATATTGCAAGAGATAAGCTAAACAGCAGGTCCTACAAAGCAACAGAACCAGCTTTCACCTTTTTGCAATCTAACACGGCCTACTGAAGACTTATTCACAGATCATTCATTTTGGTTATGTGAGTAGAAAGAAAATGAGGGATCAGCCAATGCATACAGAAAATTTTCCTTTCTGAAAGGTTTAAAGCAAGAGAAGGCCAGCCAAAGCCTCCGCTCTTCGAAAGGATATACAGAGAATTGTCAGTATGGGAAAAATGAACAGGAAAGAAAGGGGTAAATGATTTTAGGCCTAATTTGGGAAGTTATAGGGTTTCCATTTTTAACATGGCAAAACAATGATAGGGCTACATTTAAGGAAATAGAAGCAACTTCACTTGGAGTGGAATATTTGCAGATGAAAATGCTTCAATTTAGCCAAGATCAGCCGATTTTTGGGTCAAACTGGCCTGGAATCAGGTAGAAATTAGTTGATCTGGCTCAGTCTGGTTGCCCCAACTGGTTGAAGTGGATTCTCATTTACACTAGTTTGACTGATCTGATCTGTGTAGCCACCTAATCCAATGTCACTGCTGAGAAGAAACTACTTTTCATTTAAGCGAATATTCTGATCGCCCATGCAATTAAATGAATATTTTGACTGCTTGGAAAACGATCAAATGCTATCCCTGTAAGAGAAGCATATGTAGAGGACATCCGTTTGGAGAAAATCATTATGAAATTGTGTTATTTACACATTGGTTTATCCGGTATATTCTGTGTCAAACCACCTGGAGTTCTTGAATGTTATTAGATGGTTCTCGTATTAGTTGAATCAATTTAGTTTAGGTTTGAAGCGTATGCAGATGAACATCAGTTTTTAGCTCAATCGTAAGTTGATGTACAGGAGGAACTCATGATCTATGAATACTTATTGGTTTATGTGCTCTACAGAATTCCATTTCCATGCGCCTTGAAGGGGACAGCAATCCAGGTTCTGTTTATAGAGAAAACTCGACTATAAGTTATTCAGATAGTAAATCGGATCCGATCAAGGACGATCTAGCAAAGTCACATACTACAGAAGCTGTGGATGAACTTCCACAGGAAGGTTTTTCTATCGAAAAGAAAAAGACTGCAAAGATCCATGATTTCTGCCTCGGGATCCCTTTTGGTAAGTCAGTTGTCTTCTATCATGCTGATTAATCAGTATTTTCAACCTTTTTGGCTTTCGTGATTGGTGTTCCGGCATAGTCTAATCGAGGAATTGAAGTTATTTTCCACATGGGTAAAAAATAGGAAAACATTTCTAATTAATGTCTCATTTCTCAACAGGTGCAATTGTATTAAGTGGAGGACTTATCGGGTATCTTTTCTCACGAAATCTTGCAACTCTGGGCACTGGCTTCCTGTTTGGGTTGCCACTGCTCTCCCTTAGCTGTTTCAGCTTGAAGGTTTGGAGGAATGGAATATCTAGTCTACCATTCATCTTGGGCCAAGGAGGTAATTCAAGTTCTCTATTTCATTCTTTGAGAAGCATATAATGCCATATTGGTAAATACTTCTCAAATAGTTAACACTCTAAGTTAGATTATCTGTGCTCTGGCGAAGTTTAAGCTCATGAAATATGAGAGAAATTTCCCATTTTAGATTAAATATTTGCAGAAAAAAAATATATCGGTAGACAGTTTTTCTCATGTGGAGTAACTATTTCTACTCAGTTTCGTCATGCCAGTTCATATGGACAGGTTTTTGATGAATGCCTTATGCTGATGCAAAATAAACGAAGCTATTTGATGCCTACTTGTAATTGGTATTCACACGTAGACTATTTTGGAGATCTTATTGAACTATCGACTCAATTGAGTTGCAAAAATTGTAAATACTTCCGCCCATTTGGTATCTGTTTATCTATTAAATCTTGGCAGGCCATTATTGCTTATACTTAGTCGATGGGTTATACCCATCTGCTAGCTTTACATGCGACATAATGATTATTTTTTTTTGCTGGCCCAGCCCTAGCAGCTGCACTCTTCTGGAAGCACTTCCAGACTTACTCTTCGGTAAGACAAGCTCCAATGTCTCCTTGTACAAAGCTTGTTGGGTTTTCATCTCTTCTTCTTTTTAACACAGTATGATCTTCTACAGACAAAGAAATTCTTCTTTCCGGGGTTTTATGCTCTCTTGAGGTAAATCTACGTTCATTATTTTTTTCTAGGCATTCGTATTCTAACATCAGATACTCACAAGAGACGTGCTCATGCGATTGACAGTGGCGCAATGCTCTGTTTTTACTCCTACGTCCTGCTCTCTGGAGGAAACCCACCTCCAAAGGTGAAGGCGGCAGCTGCCAAATCTGCATGAAAGTCAAAACGCAGTCTGTCATACTGGTGTGGACCAGAAGCTAATGATATAAGTCGCGAGGAAACAGTGAAAGAAAGCAACTGGATAGGTTACCGTCGTGAAAGAAACTTCACTTTCCTGTAAAGAAGACTCAGAGAAGAGAGCTCGGAACAGGGATGGTGGCATATTCAAAAGTCGTAGACATCATGGCTTCTTCTTGTCAACTTGGCTGTTTTTGTCAGAGTTCTTTTCCCACGTCATAAACATCTCTAAGATTCGTAATTTTCTCGTTATTATAATTTTCATGACTAGGATGCTAACAGGCCCGGAAGGCCTTATGAAGCTGGTCCCAGCCCAGTTAATTTTCTCAACCCTGTGACTGGGCTTGAAGGAAAAGCGCGAAAATGGGTTTCTAGCAAGTTTCCTATGGATCTCAGGTCCACACATGCAGCTGAGTAAGTTGCCCAGAGTAATTTAAAAGCCCAGAGTAAGTTTAAAAGCCCGGAGTAATGGGAATCAGGCATCAGGACTTTAGCTGTGGAATTTAAAAGCCCAGAGTAAGTTGGCAAAATATCCGGACAACCCAATAAATTTCATTCATATCGTCAACTATCATATGAAATGATCATTCAACCAATCGTGGGTCCCTGGATTCTGATTAGTGGTGTGTTAGAGAAAAACAAAAAAGGAAGAAAGAAAGCGATCTTGAGAGAAGTCAAGCTATCAACACGACGGTAAGTAATTTCCTGTAAGTAACTTACAGTAAGCCCAAGTACAAATGAACAAATGAACAGGTATAATGGAATGTGCACATGATCGGGGGCTTTGTGTACCAAGTCCTCACTCGATAATACAGTATATTTGCAATGATAAATTAACAATATGACACAAGCTAGCATCTTATAAAACTGTGCAATTTATAGCTAAAGCTAGCATTCCGTCCGGAGGCATAGATCTCAGAACAAGCTGACTGATGCTGATCGATGGCGCCGTCTGGGCCTCTCATAGGTGGTCTCGAGTGTTTCATCCTCGACCGCTCCAGTGTGAAGCAGATTATCATCTCTTATGGCCATTGCTTGCCAATAGGAGACTGCTAGATCACTTCTGCTGCGTTCGCCATCTAGTTTTGAGGACTCTCCTTGTTTCTTCAACCTTTGAAAATCTAAGGAGACTCTAGATAGCTTCTTATTCCATGGGCCTCCTTTCTGGGGCTGTTCATGAAAGTTTCCTTCAGTTGCCGTCAACTGATTTTCCTGCCCATAGTCCGAGGATATGGAGGAAGCTAAGCTATCATACGAATGCCTTCCTGTATTGCCATCAAATGAATAAGCAGAAGTAGATGCCCTTCTCTCCAATCCAGTGGGACTTCGGTCAACCGAAGAATTTCTATCCTGATGCTTGTGTTTGCCCATCAGTAACCTTTTGAGCTTCCTTAGGAGCTGCGTTTTGCTCGAAGCATTGCTTTTGGAAGCAAAAGAGCTATGAACTGAAGATTCATCTAGCTCTCTATTCTCTGTCAGTGATGATGCTCCTAATGAAGGATAATGTTCTGGATCAAAGTCTATCTTAATGAATTTTCCGTTGTCTCCTGAATTTGCAAATTCATGTATGAGTTGTTTGGCCTTCTGCTCTGAATCAGGACTTAAAGTGTGGCTCAAATCCCTCGCTGCAGTTTTCCCCGGAGACGGTTGATAGTTCCTCAGCTCATACCGCAGACAAGCATTGACCCATCTGAGATACACCAACTCCTCAATATCTGCACAGCGGTCGATTTGGATTTGCCCGATTTCATTGACCAGTTCGTCGTTTATTTGCTTCAGACGCCTCACTTCCTCCAGTGCCTGAATTTTCTGTGAAAGTATTACGGGTAATTCAGTGACAATTATATTTCGAGTAAACCAAAAGCTTTCAAATTTGAAAACTACTTCCAAAATTCAAAGGTATTAGGAAAAAACTAAGAAAAATTATAAAATGCAGAAGAAGCATATGAAATAAGAATAGTTAAAGAATCATTCTCTAGTGGCAATACTGCCGTGTGGAAAATTAGATCAAGGGCACGTACTAACTCAAGAAACTGTACAAAATTAGCCATACTCTTTTTTGGCCAACTTTAAGCCCCGATTTTTTTAGTTATAATTAATGCAATGGGTCCATATACCTCTGGAGAGTCTAGAGTGGAAGAGGCAAGTATTTGTGTCGATTCCAGCTTCTTCGACAAGCTTGCATTCTCCATTGCCAAGTTCAAATTTGCTTTTCTGAGGTCTGCTGCCTCGTCCTCCCATTCCTTCAGTCTCTTATCAACTGTCTCGTCGTCATCGTTACCTTGTACTGCTGCAATTCTATGATGCAATGCAGTCATTTTCTCTTTCTCCAGAGTCAAGTCTGACCTCAAGATGCCCTCCAGATGCATCATTTCAGCCCTTGCTGACTCCAGCTGAGCATTTACTCCTCTGTATTCAGATGCGCGAACCCCAAGTTTCTCGTTCTCCGCCTGTACCGAATTCATCTTCAGGGATAGGAGTCTAGCCTCCATATCCTTGCTCTTTAGATGGTTCTCTAGTTCCCGCACAGTTGACCGTTGATCTTTGAGGCCATAGTACTCGAGAAGCTGGACCTCGAGGCATGCCACCCTCTCTTGAAGGACGTCGACAAGTGTTCTAAGTTTGAGTATCTCTTGTTCTGTTAATTTCTCCGCGTCCACCGGTGATCCATCGTCAGGAGGGGTTTCCAAGTTTTCGGTGTACAAGTCAACGGACATTAGACCTTGACGCACCAGTTCATCGAATTCAGGTAAGAGGTATTCTTCATCCTCGGAATTCTTACTTCTAGAAGAAACCCAACCAGCGTCATCGGCAATCATCTTATCAGGGGTTCCATGTTCTCTAGTCGAGGATGTCTCTTCCTGTTCCATGAAAATTCACGCATTAGTACAAGGAGACAGTACTCCAAAATTGAAATAATTTCAGCGGAAAAAAAGAGATCGGCATGACTATTGGAATGATCCATGATTGTTATACAGAGAAATTTAAACTAAGAATGGGATTTAGAGGACGAGGAGCAAAGGCAGAACTGAGACTGGAATAATTGGATGCTCACACATTGTTCATCAGGAGTCTCATCTTTGAGGCTGCTAACAACCTCTCTTGCAGCTTCAGCTTCTACATCTACAGTTACGAATACAGAGAAATATGGATTGAAAAACGTATAGTCACGGGACAGAATTGGTGTGAGAAATAAAGTATATTGAACGGAAAAAAAAAATTACCCCCAAAAGAACAAGAAAAAGTGAACTAGGTGCACCTGAAACACCGGGCGGAGGATGGGGAGGGCGCCGGTCCCCACGGAACCTGAGGTGTGAGTAGAGAAACCCAGCGAAGGTGAGGAATAGGGCCACCCCGACCTTTAGAAGAAGAGGTTTCGTCTCTCTCCTCGCACTGGTCCGCCACTTCACGGCCATGTCACAGATGCTCTTCAGGCCCCCTTAGATATGCCAATTAAGGGAGGCACAATTCACAGAAAACCGACCGAATGGGGATCCCAGGGATGAGACCAAGTACAAAAAAACAGGAAGAACACCCGCTTCCGGATCTCCCCACACATGCATAAACCTATTCCAGCTGCTATTACGTGACGGTTATGAGGAATCAGAGCAGCTCAGATCATGAGTTGGTTCTTCTGAATTCTGGAACTAAAAACACATATAAGATCACGGAAAATCTAAATACAAAGCTGAGTCTCACACGGGCGGAAGAGAAGACCGGATGGAGCACAAAGGGGGAGGGGGAGGTAGAGACCGCCATTACCGATCTCCAGAAGATCGGGGGATTATCAGACCAGGGATCGGCGCGACAGGAGGCGACTGCTGAGTCTGCGCAGGTGTGTTCGCTCCCGGCTCCTCTTTGACCTCCCCCCCAGCCCTCCGCTGGAAGTCGGGGGCGTGGCGGTGGAGCCCCTGGAAACTTCCGGAATTTTTAACGGTCGTTGTCTGTACGCCAACTTTGCTGCACCTATTATCGGTTATTTTTATGCAATTTTCCACCTCGGAGTTTCGCTTTTGGCAGATTCTCTCCCGGCGCTGCATTTTAAATACTACCGAAGGTTCCATGTGGGCCCGGGCATTTCCGAGGGTCCACGTCAGCCCCAACCGGGCTCCTATTTTAAAAATATTCGAAAATAAATCATTCCAGAAGGATTTGGCTCCTTAAAAGACAACAAAACCTCAAATAAATAATATAAAACATGTTGGTTTAATTATTCGCGCTCGACACGTGGCGGTTTCTGGTAGAAGGATCCAGAAAAAGAAGGCGCGGGAAATAAAAATGAAATAACTGTTAACAGATCGTGGGGAGTTGTCAACGGGCGGTGGAAAATGTCCTCCGCACTGGGATTGTTCCCGCGGAGGGGGAGGAGGGAGCGCATTTCGTGTTAGCTCGTGGGGGAGAAGGTGAGCGCCGCAGGGGTGGGGGGGGAGCAGTGGGAGGAGGAAGGGAGGGAGAGAGAGAAAGGCATCGATCTCTCCCTTCTTCCTCGATCTGCAGCTGTAGATATCGGAGTTCATGTAGCTCAGCTCCCGCTGCCGATACGTCGGAAGAAACAATGCATCTCCGAGCATTCCCGCGCCACCCTCCCGCCGGCGAGCGCTCACATGCTGTCTACACCACCGCGGTGGCCATCGACAAGGATAAGAACAGTCAGCTAGCGGTAAAATGGGCGGTGGACAACCTCCTCATGAACAGCCCCGCCATTGTGCTGATTCACGTCCGGAGTCCGGCAAACATCTCCCGTAGGTACCCTCTCTTTTACCTGATTCCTCTCTGGCTTACGTGCTCAGGGGTCTGACTTCCTGTCTGCATTGTGATCGTTCTCTCAATGTCGTCTCGTCATTGATCGTGGATGTGCTCGGCTGTTTCTTCTCACACAGTTGGCTTCTCCATGAGCGAGGTGACCACTGAAGCAGTCAGGGAGCGGTTAGAATCAGAGATGAACCAGCTATTCCTGCCTTACCGAGGGTTCTGTGCGCGAAAAGGGGTAAGGACAAGATGCGGATATCTTTGATCTGGGATGGGATAATCAAGATAATTTGAATGTCTGAAATGCTAAAATCAAGACCTCGGCAAATGCAGATGCAATTGAAGGAGGTGGTTCTTGAGGAAACTGACGTCGCTAAGAGTATTATAGAGTATATCGATGCCAATACCATCAGCAACATTGTCGTCGGTTCTTCCAACAGGAACGTCATCACAAGGTCCGTCTGTCTCTATCCAGTGATATCTTTTCGATTTTTATATCTTTTTCGATTAGTAATCTTGAGCAATGATGTCTCCTCTATCCAGGAAGTTCAGGAACCCAGATGTGGCCACGAGCCTGATGAAATCTGCTCCCGACTTCTCCACGGTATACGTGATATCCAAGGGGAAGCCGGCGACCGTGCGATCAGCGAAAACCAAAGCACATATTCCTGCAGCACTTCCTCAACAACCATCCATTCCGCCTAGTCCGCGACATTTCGCCCCCGGCGGCATAGACTCCGACGACACCCCCCGGTAAGCAACAGAAAAAAAAGGTGCTCCAATCGTTCACTATACAGCGCGCATTCTTCTTGCCTTGGCTAATCCGTGATTGTAAGATGAAAGCTTTACGAAACGAACGACTTCTTGATCGATCCCTGTAATGATTCAGAATACGACATACGTGGCGTTATCGGGCATCCAATTTTAAATCAACGAAAAATATTTTAGCTTCATATATTTTAATCCGATTTGTTTTCTCCGAAAATGAAGTGTAAACTATTGTAATACTTCTGTTCGCGTGGATTTGATTCTTTTCGACTCTATCATACTGACTGAAGAAATGGGGCTCGTTCAGTTGGAGACAATTAGGATGTCCAGTGTGAAGTCAGAATCATAAGTGAAGTTTTCATATTTTTTAATTTTAAGCACTAATTGTTCACAAGTGATTTTTTCATGGATTTTAATTTTAGATTAATTTTGTCTCAAGTCGTGAATAAACTGTTATGGGAAAAATTCCTAGCTTTTTGAATGAAACCTACAAAAGAGATCGCAGAAGTAAAAGCGAGGAATTTTCATGTTTAATACGCTGGATGTTTGGCTGATCTATAGTATGGCAGGATGACGCTGTTTTCCAGGGCTGGCGGGCGGAGAAGCTCGGTTTCGCCATCCTTTGCGCAAGATAGACGGTCCATCGACAGGAACCCCGATTATGTGAAGACGCCATCTAGAGATAGGGTGTTCTTCACAGCGAGGACGGAGTCCAAAAACGCCTTTTTCGAAAGCAGGGACGTCTCTTTCCGGCCGCCGAGGTCCAGTTCCCGGGAATCCTTTGCTGAGGACCTAGATTTTCACAGAGATCTGGGTTTCCAATTGACGGAATTCACCGACGACCATCTGGAGCACTCGGCTGCCCCAACCGACAGCCCCAGAAGCTCCTCCTCATATGCTAGTGTAAGCACCGGTTAGAACACAGGAAAGATGTTTCTCGTGAACATCTAATCTTGAGTAGCTGACATTTTGACACTTGATTTCATGGCAGAGAGATATGGAGGCTGAACTGAACAGACTTAGGTTGGAGCTAAACCAGACCATTGAGATGTATAGCTCTGCCTGCAAGGAAGCGATCAGAGCCAAGCAGAAGGTGTTTTACTGGAAATCTCCTAACAACACTACCAGTTGAAGTGCTTATTTCAAATATTAGTCTTGGGGGGTTTGCTTGATTATGATGTTGGTGGAGCAGGCCAGAGAAGTCCACCAGTGGAAGTTGAAAGAGGCACGCAAGATCGAGGAGGCGAGGCAGGCAGAGGAAGCTGCCCTTCAAATGGTCGAGATGGAGAAGGCCAGGTGCAGGGCTGCCATAGAAGCCGCACAGGAAGCGCAGATGCTTGTAGAAATCGAAGCCAAGAGGAGACTCTGCGCCGAGCGGGCAGCCAAGCGCGAGGCCGAGGAGAGGAAGAGAGCGCTGGATGCCTTGGCTCACAAAGACGTCCGCTACCGGAAGTACACAATCGAGGAGGTCGAGGTGGCCACGAATTTCTTCTCCGAATCGCTGAAGATTGGGGAAGGCGGGTACGGACCAGTCTACAAGGCGTGCCTTGATCACACTCCCGTGGCCATCAAGGTCTTGCGACCAGATGCTACTCAAGGGAGGAGGCAATTCAAACAAGAGGTAATCGTTGTGAATAGTTTCAAGAAAATGAAATGTAGCGGTAAAAGTATATGATTTTTCTATTATCGTTATTGATTGTTGACCCTTTTGACGGCTTAATTGCTTCATATAATGTCAAAGGGCTAGATTCCTTCCCATATCCAGCATCCTGAAGATGACGGCCATCTTATTTAAAGTTAATTAGATTATAAGACGATCGGATTCATTCCAGATGGTGTTCAGGGGAGGAAGAAATTCTATAAAAATGTGATTTATGGGAATGTGATCAATGAAGTTAAATAGTTGCCCCCAGACCCTGATTAGATGAGGAAGAATTTCTGGAAGTGGGCAAGTCGTGAAAAAGGCGTTAAACTTAGACGATTAAGCTCTGAGAAAAATCTGCGGACTTCCTACCTGCTATCAATCGACTTCGACTTGTACGCTATGATTCTTTGGATTGATATGAACAGCATCTGATTGATTACTATGTTGCGTGCATCGGCTCGCCTTCAGTTTATTCTCAATGTAAATGAAATGATCTAACCTTCAAAATAAATCGTGCAAAACTTTGATTCATCTAGTGCTAATCGGGTTTTACACGAAATGATAGTCACTTTGTCTCAACCTTGCACTTCAACGAGCAGGTGGAAGTTCTGAGCCGCATCCGGCATCCCAACATGGTGCTGCTGCTCGGCGCCTGCCCTGAGTACGGATGCCTGGTCTACGAGTACATGAACAACGGCAGCCTCGAAGACCGCCTCTTCCGGCGTGGCAACACCCCACCCATTCCATGGAGTGTCCGCTTCAAGCTTGCGGCCGAGATAGCCACGGGCCTGCTGTTCCTCCACCAGACGAAGCCCGAGCCTCTAGTCCACCGGGATCTGAAGCCGGCCAACATCCTCCTCGACCGCAACTACGTGTCCAAGATCAGCGACGTGGGCCTCGCCAGGCTCGTTCCGCCAGCCACGGCGAACGCCGCCACCCAGTATCGGATGACTTCCACCGCCGGGACCTTTTGCTACATCGACCCCGAGTACCAACAGACGGGCATGCTGGGGGTCAAGTCTGACATCTACTCCATGGGGATTATGCTGCTTCAGATCGTCACCGCGAAGCCGCCCATGGGCCTCACCCACCGCGTCGAGAGCGCCATCGAGAGGGGGGCCTTCGCGGAGGTGCTCGACCCGACCGTGCCGGACTGGCCCGTGGAGGAGACATTGGGCTTCGCTAAGCTCGCCCTCAAGTGCGCGGAGTTGAAGAGGAAAGACAGGCCGGACCTCGCTGCCATCGTCTTGCCAGAGCTCAACCGTCTGAGGAACCTCGGTCAAGCCTGGGAGGCCACATGCACCTCCAGCAGCGGCAGTGGCCAAAGCTTCGTCAGGGAGGCAACCCCCTCCTCCCTCGATGTTCATCTCGATAGCCGGTCTCACCACGACGAGGTCAGACACACTGATCATCTCCTTCTAGCCCTGATTCTTCTCTCCAAAATCCCAGTTTTCATCTTCTTCCTTTGAGGTGCAGACATCAATCAGTAGTGCGAGTCCGGGGGGATCGAGTGCGGACGTGACTGAAAGCTGACGAGCAGGGGGCGGAGCTGGTACGTACCCTCTTAGACTCCCGCACTGTGCTATATCATCTGTGGGATGTTTGGTCTGCAACACACACCTACACAGTTCCCCCCTGTATTCAGCCCCTACGAATAAAGCCTTCTGGCATGGTTGACATGGAAAAATGTCCTTTGTAGGAAGCATATGATTGATTGGCTGATGATGAAGGCGCTGACCATAGAGAAAGAGAGAGAGAGATAGAGAGATTTGATTGGCCCCCGGATATTGTGCCCGAATTATATAATTTGATCTGGCTTAAGACGTCCACTTACGCTGTAAATATATATTGTACCCCCCCAAAGTTCGGATCTGGTTTCTGGGTGGGTTTGGGTCTGTATTCTCGCTCCTCGGGCTATCGTCTGGGGAGATTTCCTTCAGGTGGTGGTGGTGGTGGGGCGGGCGATTTCACCACCAGTCGTTTCCTGGAGGCGGAGATAAACTAACGGCTTGCCGGCGGAGGACGGGCGGGACCGAGATGGCCGCAGTGCAGCAGCTCCGGTGTCTCTCCCTTGTCGAACCTCGGGCGGGTTTGGTGAGCTTCCTTTTCCATCATTCATCGTCGCGTCTTCTCACGGAACCATGGCTTCTCCTCGGTTTAGATGGCTGGTTCTAGTCGCCTCCGACACTCTGCCGAAGATGATCCTAATGACTGTTTTCTCGCTCCAATTTGAATCTGGTGAGGCAGGCGAATCGCACGGCCGTCCCCAGCTTGGCTTATGTGGGGTTGTCGCCGGCGCTGGGTGTCAACGGGAAGCGCCGCCGGAGATGTCTACTGAAGGTGACCAACAAGACGCCCGCTGGAGGGGATCTCATGGTGAAGGAATCTGAGACTCCAAGCGGCGATCGCGGTCAGTCTAGTTTCCTCCCAACCTACTTTCCTTAATTCACCCTGTTCGGACGCTGGAGGAGAGATTTACTATAATTAGCTGTTCTTCTAGCGTAATTTGCTTTAGGGTTTTGCAGGCATTGGTGTCGTTAGCATACACCACGTCGGATTACTCTGTGAAAACCTAGAAAGATCACTGGAATTCTACCAGAAGCTTCTCGGTACGCCGAACAAATCCCTAAATTTGACGGCCGAAAGGCTGAGTTTCTCCCTCTCGATGGGATTGTTAGGGTTTTCTCTCTGCTTGGCTGAACCAGGACTGGAGATCAACGAGGCGAGACCGCACGAAAAGCTCCCTTACAGAGGCGCTTGGCTGTGGGTGGGCTCCGAGATGATCCACCTGATGGAACTCCCAAACCCTGATCCCCTGACTGGGCGACCTGAACATGGGGGACGTGACCGCCATGCTTGCATTGCCATTAAGGACGTCTCGAAGCTTAAGGTCATCTTCGACGATGCTGGTCAGCCTCCAAACGCGCAATCCCTTCTAATAGAATCCTTATCGCGATCTTCTTCAAAATTTCCTCGAATCTCTTCTCTTCATGTTCATTCAGATACATTTAGATACCGTCCTTTTTTTTCAAAAAATTATGATTTAGTTGTACCCCGGAAATTCATGAGTTTCCCTTTTGGCTTTTTTAAAGACGTCATATATATGGGATTTCTCTGTTGACCAGTTAAAAGTGAAAGATTATGGGAGCAATGTGGCAGTGGAGGCAGAACCTTGATATCTGTTTATGTGGAAATTGTGCAGGCATCCAATACACTCTCAGCCGTTCAGGGAGGCCGGCAATCTTCGCACGTGATCCAGATGCGAATGCACTTGAATTCACGCAAGTGGATTGAAAACCGACCTCAGGAATGAAAGAAAACGGAGGAAAGATGAGCACTTGCGTCCATATACCAGCAACTGTCACGTTTATGCATATAGATAATCAGACATGGTGTTGACTTTATTGTAATTATCTGTTCCCCGTTTTGAAATGATATGTGAAGCTCTTTCTATCTGTTGGTAATCAGGTTGTTGACCCACATGAAACTATAGCTCAGAGTTTGTCTGATTCGATGAGACGTATCAATCTAGAAATGGATAAGAATTCCCTGCAGAATGAAAAATATCCATGATGATGATTAGCACATAACCTGCCAATATTTTGGAGGGAAATCGATTGAAACAGTATGCTGATATGCACAAAACCCGCCATGTAGAGCCCACAGTAGCATAGATGGCTGATCGATCAAGCTAAACTCATCTCTCGATCATCATCGAACCTATAATTCATGTGGAGAAAAGGGGGGAGAGATCAATGGGGATGCAACCCCACTCGTTCACTGGTTCAAAGAAAGAAGCCATTACGACTGGGAAAGCCTGCGACCGAGCAATGAATCCGAAGCAATATCTGATGGTTACTCGCCCAGTTAACCATAACCAATTCTTCCTCATTTTTTTTCCTTCATTAAAGCAGAAGAAACAGCATTTGATTGATATTTGCGAATTAAGGTTTTAAAAGATATTGATGAGAAAATATTTTAAGAGGAGAATGCTCACGACGGGGCTGCTTATTGCCCGGCGTTCATACAAATAACTGGTCAGGTGAGAGATTTTCCTGCCCATTCCCTTTCTCTCCGCTTCAGCTTTGCTTGCATTTTGTTGAACTTCTCCTTGCCTTTCTCCAGCAGGGGGTCATACACAACGTAGGTATTTGGGTCGTCCTTCCGAGCCATGTCATCCTGCAACCAGTTTCAAACAGTAAAAGGATTGTAATCCCTTCAAGAATCAGAAAGGGGGAGAGGAGAGATTCAGAGGAGAGAACAAGATTTGCCTTCTCTGAGGGACCACGAGTGAACTTCAGCTGGCCTGTCATCCATACTGATATATCTTCCTCATCGTCGTTCTTCTTGGGCTCTTTGCTGGAAGATGAAGCGATCTTCATGGGGAAAGCCTTCTTGAATCTCTCCAGCTTTGCTAGTGTCTGGAATTAAGGCAAGGAAAATTAAAAAGGCAGGTGCTTCGTGAAAAATAAGATGAAATCTCTCAAAGCAGCAGCATGGAATGGAAAGGACAGAGGAACCAGTTTATAGCTCTGGCCATACGAAGAGGATCCAATACCCCGGAATAACGTTGTTGACCACAACTGGGTTTAGCCATTTTTGGCAAAAATTAAGTCAACCGAAACTCAGAAAGAATCTCAAAATGTAGCAGGATCGATGACTTCTCTGGTTAATTCAAATGTTTGAGTGTGAATATTACATGCGGATTATCTAATCTGAACCAGAGTCACACTACAATAACATTAATTATGCAATTATATAATAGCTAAAAGTTGAACGGAGAATTCAGCTAGAAATGAGGAAGTCTTCTGTGTGCTGATTTCAAATTAAAATCTGATCCTGGATTTATGTTTTTCTCTCGACCCAATTGGTGTGCAGGTTTTGGTTCTACTTTATGTTTTGATCCATTCTAGTAGGAGATGTGACAGAGAACTGAATGACAGAAAAACAGCAATGGGTTCTAGTAGAATACATCTTCTTCACGGCCTTGAAGTCTGCGCCTCTTCTGCTTCCACATCTGTCTTTCTTGCTCTGCTTGACCTAGCAACTGCAAGTCAGAATCTGCCTTGGCCATAAGCTCAGCCCTGGCTTCTGAGCCAATCCCTTTCTTCTTCATAGAAAGCTTCTCAACTTTGGTCCGGGGGCCATCATCATCGTCGTCATCGTCGTCGTCGCTTTCTCTGTATGGAATATGTTGAAAGAGCTTGTGATTTATGCCAAATAAATCAAAGAGAAAATTTTCGTAAGATAGAACACGCAACTATTTTGAAATTAAAAATAATTATTCCCACAAAAAAAATCTTGAAGAGAAATAGCAAATCCAGGGGATGAACACCAGCTAGAGAGAAAATTCGGAACTAGGTACTAGCATCAATCGATGAATTCCAATAGGGAAGAATGCCAACATCCCTACATAAATTTCCCATGTTCGACCTAAAAGACTAATAGGATCAAACTTTACCACAAAAGACTAAAAGGGAAGTAACGGTTTTTCTCTCCTTGTTACGGCAGCCAGAGCCAGTAACCCTTGTCATAGATTTGTTTTTTTCCAGTATGAGTGATACAAATTCGACATGGTTTTTATCAGTAAATAAATTGCTCAATGACCACCAATCAAGCCTTCGTTCACAAGAAAGAGAAACATAATAAGTGGAAAGGTGTATTATGGTTCAGATAAGGTCACCAAAGTGGCTGCCATGGGGAGATGAATGATCCAACAGTAACTGTAAAGAAGGTGGTACTAGAAAGGTTTCAGGTACGTAGATGAATATTTTTCACAGAAAGGGATAACAAGTTTTTCTCTATGAGAGGAGTCATCCTAAATATGGCCACACTTTTCACAGCAACTTCCCTTAAACCCCTCCCTGGTTCCGATCCCCATCCTCCACAGTGGGAAAGGATATCTGACTACTAAAACGCAGAACAGATTGACATTCTTGAATTTCGGAATTCGAATCGACAGAAAACAATCATTGGAGTTATTGAGCATCTGAAATCAAGACTAAAGTGATGAACGATATCAAGAAGAAAATACGATCAAATACAATGAAACAGTTATACCTCACGGAGGTCCCTCCAACATCCTTCGACTGATGTTTCTTCTCTGCAAACGCATATAAGAAAATTGAGTTATTTCCTGAGCATCCGAGTGTTCTTCCCATTAATGTGTTTTCGACCATGTTTTAGACCAGTGGCTGTAGTCCCACGGGAGAGCAATTGGGCCATGGAAACTGGTATGCTCCGATGCCTGTGAGTTCAATTCTTTCCATTCCCAGCTACATTAATCAATGCATAGCATCGCAATGTACTACAAGCCTGGGGGTTCTACTACCACCACTTCGAAGAATCATCTTCGGAGTCCCATGAACACATCACGATAACTTAAAAAATAAATAAATCCACGAAGCGTATTAGAGAGTCTAGAGTTGTAGGAAATATTTTACCGGACTTCTCCCGGGTTGCAGTGTCCCCAAGTTCTAAACGCTTTCTTAGAATCTGTGAACGCATTCGTGCATCGAATTTTGCCTCATCATCTTCGTCGTCGTCGTCATCATCACCACTACCATGGGTTCTGAATGTATCAGTTTCTGCGTCAACTTTCTTGGATGTTAAAGCCTCTCTCACAGCTTTCTGTACATCTTTCTTCTTCTCCGCTGCCACTGAGCTCTGACATTTGACTTATCAAAATCAGTACGAAACTAAAGAGCACGCATGAATGTAAATGAACAGGTTTGAAAAAGAGAGGAAACTGCATGGAATGTAGTAAATGGGAAAAAAATTCAGCAGCATTAACATAAACAGGGATAAATGTACACGATGCCAATTGAAATTATTATGAACCAGTACAACAGATTGGCAGCTACCAAATAAAAAAGAAACCAAATGGTGGCAATGGAGAAAAAAGAGGAAAATTAAGGTTTTCAGTAAAATGAGGATTACCAGTTCCTGTTCTTCTGATTCTCCTTTGATAAAGTGAGGATCATTCAATACATCATGTATACTTTGAATTTTTTTCTTTATAGATGCCAACTCCTTTTCCTCTTCTTCTGCTTCTTCTCCAAAAGAGAGCAACTTAAAATTCCTACATGCCAAAAATTGTATGAATGATGATTTAATGCAGATCAGCCACAAATTAGAAGACGGGAAGAAAACTGTCCAACAATAGGGAAATAATGCTCACTTTACTGCTTTTTTCTTCTGTTCCTCTTTCTCAGTACGAGAAGAAGATGGCGGTTTCTCAGCCTCAGGAACACGCCTTGGAACAATATCATCAAAAGGGTTCCACAACACCTGAATCAGACATTCAAATCCATGTAAAAATTACATTAAAAATTTATTTTCGTAGGACCATCATGAAGACCGCCTCCAAAATCCTCACATGAGAGTTTTCCTTGCTAAATCAGAGCATCACAGAGTAGAAAACTTGGCATAGAAGTGACTCATCAAGTGTTTAGAATTCAGTACTTCTTCTATCCATAATTGAATATGTTGATCTTTGTAGATCACAAAGGTTTTCACTGGATCACCAATCTTAAAAAAGTCAAAGCCAGGGAGGACGTGACGTATAGCTAAATAAAGGTATGTGACAACTATAACCTTCATATATACTGCCCATATAGAAACGAGCAAAATATACCTCAACGGAGTTGATCCTTGGAATAGGACTTAGTGGTCGATCATCCTTGTCAGTCTCAATTTCACCTATTCTCAAAAGGTTAAAAATGGAATCTCCAGTGACCTCCAAACAGAGAAAATTCAACGATTAGATTGACAAGGATGAAGATTTTAAAAAAGTAAAAGAGTCATCAGAAGCAATTAGAAGAAGGACAGTACCTTTCCAAAAATGGTATTCTTTCGATCTAGCCAATCACAACGGTCCAGTGACATAAAGAACTGACTTCCATTGGAGTGCGGTGATCCAGCGTTTGCACAAGCGACCAATCCCCTGTGGTTGAATCTCAGACGCGTGTGAAATTCATCAGGAAATGCATCTCCATAAATACTTTCACCACCTGTAAGCGGGGAAAAAAAAGTCTAAATCACTCAATGCACCCAATCATTATAATTTCGTTTAGCTTTTGAATGCCGAACAATTAAGCGTACGATGTTGTCCAACTAAATGTTGGAATATACATTCTTGAAAAAAAATCAGACCAACCAGCGTCAAACCTATCTCCAAATAGTCGATCTCCCAGGTTTGTCCAATGTCTAATCAATCATGCAACTGCTACGTTAGCACCATGATTTTGGTTTGATTCGTGGCTAGAATGTCAATCGTCTATCCAAAGAAAAAAAAAGAAGGGATTAAGCTGTACATCCTGTAAAGTTTCTATGGAATCGTATATCTGGAATTCTTGCTTCCATCTTCCACATTCTATGGGAGAATGAGATGAATAATTTTTCAGCGAGTTCCTTCATAAAACTACATTTTTCATCACTTGCTCGACGGAAAGAAAGGATCATGATCGAGACTACAAGATGCCTGCACCCGAAACACGGAGGAAGTAGGGTTTGGAGCCAAGAGAGTGGCGGAGGGGGTGGGGATGCGGGCAGATAATTAAAGAGATAGCTTGCAGGCAGCTTACCGGTTCCAGTGCCAGTGGGGTCGCCGCCCTGGACGAGAAAAGACTTGATGACGCGGTGGAATATCGTGCGGTCGTAGTAGCCCTCGAGGCAGAGCTGCACGAAGTTCCTGACGGCCTTGGGAGCCTCCTTAGGCCACAGCTCTATGTCAATTGGACCCATATTCGTATTCAGCACCACCTTCCCCTTCGTTGGAGGCTCCAGGACATATACCGCCGACATCTTCCCTCCCGCGGAGCGGTCGACGGCGGAGCCAGAGGCAGTCCGGAAAACAGCCGCCGCCCGCCGCCGTCTGCCGCCCCCGCTTTTGCTATTTCGCCGCCGCCCTCTAAGTGAACCGTCGACCCATTTGCCGGTCCGAACCGGATAAACTCCGGCAGATGTTTGAACCGGATCGGGCCGAGTGTGGGGTTCGTCGTCCTCGAGACCGTAAAAAACGAGGGTAGAAGCTCTGTTGCAGGGAGATGGAAGGGTTCGATCCCAGATACCAAATGGGTGACGACTCCGTCTACCACTCCGTGGCAGAGGTAACTGGAAATGTCTGGCTTGGTGTGTCCACTGTGACAGATTGTGGACTCTTTGGGCTCTTTACTGCTACATATTATGTGGGTTCATGCCGATGAATGCAGGTGAGTGACTGTGCTTTGCATAGGATGGATGGCTCGTTACCGTGTCAGCTTTTTCTCGAAGTCCTGATCTTTAGTTATTCCTCATGCGTCGTGGTTGCCATTCCCCCCTCCCCCTCACATTGAGCTCTGATTTGTATTCCCTGTGGCGATGCTCTATCTTTGGTCTCTGTTATCATGAATTCTGATTAATGGGGAGCAAGTAAGCTATTGCAAACCCCCCTCCGTCCTTCATCATCTGGGATATGATATTACGTAGGCTTACGCTGGAACTTTTCTGAGAAATCAAGTGCTAATATGCCAGGTGCCATCAGGGAGCAGCCAGTTAGTGCATATTCTGAGAAAGAACACGATCACGACAGGTTTCTGCTGCATCAGATTATGGTATTCATAGTGTGAATCAGTGGAAGAAATTTTACTTAAATGAGAGTAATTACTGAAAATTTTCCCCCCGATTAACATGTTCCATATGTTGAGAGGTAGTCTTCGTTTATTCCCATACTCCCTCAGCAGTACGCTTGTACTAGGTGGTCACTTGATATTCCTCAGTAAGCTGATCTTAAGATCCTCTCTTTGAACCTGGATTTAATGTTCTGAATTATTCTTGGGCCATCTATATTTAACATGTTAAAACTTCTTAATCCAGTTCCTAAACAGATAGTCGCCTGTACCGATTATTTCAGCTTTTTTCCCCCCTGTTCACAAGGTGGGAATTGTTTTGAGGGCAATACTAAGTTAGATGGTGAGCCATGCAAATCCTGTCCCTGAAAAATTCTCAAAATTTAGAAGCCCAGTGCAGAATGAAGCGTGGCTCTTATGATAGATGGGACTGACGGTGGGCTGGCTATTTACCTTTAAATGTAGGAGTTGGTATTATGAAATAAATCCAAGTTTGGTTTCCAGGAGTGCCACACATAAAGGGAAAGAGGCTTCTTATGCTATGATAGATTGGGGGAATTATTCATTGTACTGATTGTCTACATGGGCGAGAGTATATAAAGAGTCTTTTTTATTATTATTATTGTTATTCTGTCACTGTTCTCCATACTTTTCCTTTAATGGCTTTCTTCCAACGCATTTATGCCAGATTTTGTCATGGAGTTGCAGAAGCCTGTTTACTGTGTCCAGGGTGGTTTACTGTTTGAGATGGAGAGAATAAGGTCTGCCTATTGATTTTTTTTATCTGCCTTTCAGCTGCATTTGCTGTCAATGAGTTCCTAACGGCAGAATATCCAAGGTCAAAGTTCGTTTGGTGACATAACCTAGCTTGCTAACGGGTATATTCTTGGCGATTTTGACCAGAAGGTAAGCTTCTAATCATTTATATATGATGTCGATGACATTTCAGTATACCTACCAAGCCCTTAACTTCTTCATGTTAGTTGACTCTAACTGAGATCTGTTTGGCTGGCAGATCCCCATTTGGAAGGAATGGATCAGAAGTGCTCATAGATAAGAAGTCACTAGGATGGTTCGGCATTCATGGGCTAGAGTCGGCAGGTGCTCAATTTAGCTCATATATAATGTTTTTTGCTTGTTGGTGTTGCCTCTATTTTTTCAATGCCATGCATTCTATGATGGAAATCATTATCCTATAAAAATATTTTATAAAGATAGCACACACCAGTTTTGCCCAGCAGTGTTGCCTCTCTTTTCAGGAAGTCATGTAAAAGCTTACCGCAGATGGGATGGGAGTGATAGGACGCTCACTGATGCTAGTTATTGAGTGTTTCATTTGTTCAACTGCATTCTGCACTCAAGAATCATACCATTTTCAGAAAACTCAGCATTTTTCTCACGAATCTCGTGTCATTATGAGAAAAAAAAACCTCATATTGTGCTGCAAAATCGTGCCGCACCTGACATACTTTTCAAGGTACTGACCAGCTACATCTCATCTTAAGTTTCTTGATAGAATATTTGTTCTATAAAGGATCATTCATCAGGTTACTTCCAAATCTTTTTCTTGAAGAACTGATGTTTTCTACAACAACCAAGTGCCTCCAAGGGGAATTCCACAAGTTCCGTTTAATTGCTTTCTGCCCCTGGTACCGATCTCCCTGTTTGATCACTGGGGAGGCTAAGCTAGTCGCTTGGGTGATATCCAGAACTAAGGGCTTATGATTTAAACACTTAACAAATAGGCATAGTTCAGCTAAATAGAAACTTAATTATCCATCAGGAACCGCCAAAGGTTAACTTGCTAAAAATAGAGAAAAAGTGCAGGTAAACAAGAGCAGAACCGGAATATAGGAATACACTGGGCCATCATGAAGATGGAAACCTCTCCTCATCCCTCTTTAAGGCTGAGTTTTGGGTTATCTCTAGTTGATACAGAAAGTCCTGAACTGAGAGTTATTCCCCGTTTTTCTTCCTTCACGGATAGCTGAAATGACTGGACGTAGTGAGTAAACTAGCTGGTATTCAGTACTATTCCGCGTTCTGACCTTCTGAAGTGTCGAGTGTGCGAGGGGATGCAAATGGTGGTAAATGATATCGATCTTAAGGAGAAAGTCGGCTTATTTTCTTGCGTAATCAGGTACCCACAGCAAGAATAGATCACGGCTCGAAAAGTGTCAAGGCGAGAAGAGGAATCGTCATCTTTCTTTTGGTACAAAAAGAATGCTAATCGAAACTCTTATGTCAACTTTTTTCTTGAGGAAAGTCAAGAAAAAAAAAGAATCACAAGTTACTGTGTTTCATTACAGCCCTTCGGAGGAGCACAGAGAACCCTCCGATTTCCCTCCTCCTTCCTCTTCATGCTCCTAAAGTGCATTGTATCTACCTTCCTGTCGGCTGAGGTATGGAAATCGACGACCTTCCTCAACAATTTGAAAAATTTATGCAGATCGGCTTTGTCATTCATTCACAGAAGAGCTAGAAGAAGGCGGTGCCGGCGAGCCCACGGTGGAGCAAGTTGTGGGCGATGCTCTCCCGGGCCTGCATCGAGTTCAAGGACCGGAGGCTATTCTCGGGCACCATCTGGTCGTCGATGAGCTCAAAGTCCAGCTCCGGGTCCATCTCCTGCTTGCTCATCTCGCAGATGTTGTGTAGGACGCAGCAAGCGCCGAGGACCCCGGGGAGGTCCTGGAGCTTCACCTCCGTCCTCTTCTGCAGGCACTTCCATCTCCCCTTGAGGCGCGCGAAGGCCTCCTTGGCGACCCGCTGAACTTCCCCGATCTTCTCGTTGAAAGCGTGCTGTGTCCAGGTGAGGTTCTGGTGCGCGTAGGGCACCAGAACCCAGTCCATGAGGGGGTAGCCGCCGCCCCCTACGATCCATTGGCCATTGAGCATGCCGCCGGCGGCGCGCTGGTAGAGGGCCGACTTCTCCAGCACCTGGTCGTCGGACATGGAACCGGGCCAGCCGATGCAGACATCGGTGAAGACTCCATCTGGGTCGACCACCCCCTGTATGGTGATGGAGTAGGAGGTCTTCTGGTTTCGCTCTGTGTGGCGCTTGTTGAAGTAGGCGGCGACGCTGATCTTCGGGGCGATGATGGGGATGTGGGTCGTGTACATGGCGCCGACGACGTTGGGGATGCAGGAGGCCGACTCGAAGCGGGCCTTGATCGCCTCCGCCGCCGCCTCGGAGGGCCACTGCAGGAACTTGGGCATGAGCACCGACTTGATGGCGGCGCAGACCTCCAGCACCAGTTTATGGCAGGTGGAGATTCCCAGGCCAAAGCGCTTGGACACCAGCCGCAGGGGCTCCCCCGTCGCCAGCCGCCAGATGCAGACCGCCACGCGCTGCCGCACGGGGATGGCAGCGCGGAGCATCGTGTCCTCCTTCGCCACAGCAGCTCCGAGTTCCTCGCAGATCATGTCGAAGGTTGCGCGGCCCATGCGGAAGGCCTTGCGGAACTCGGCCTCGGGAAAGTCCGGATGGTTGCAGCGGTCCCACCAGGCCTGCGACCGGTCCTTCACCCACAGCCGCCGGTGATGCTGCGACGGCCCCGCGGCGGGGGCGGCGGGGGCGGTGGGTTCTGCGGCACCCAGCGCAGCGGAGGAGGCCGCGGCGGCGGCGACGGCGGCGGCGGCGGCGACGCGGGCGCGCTTGCCGTGGAGTGTCTCGGACTCGTCGGCGTCGGAGTGGTGGTCCTGGAGGTAATTGCGGTAGTCGGTCATGGCCTTGGCCTTCTGGGTGTGGTTGGTCTCGAACATGGCGAGATCCTGCTCGGCTTCTCTCTCCCACTCCTGCCGCGCGGCCCTGTTCTGCTCCTCGAGCATCGCAAGGGAGGTGATCAGCTGGGAGATGACGATCGTCTTCTTCTTTCTCCCCTGCTGCGCCTCCCCGCTCCCGTTGCTGCCGCTGCCGCTGTAGCTGTCGCAGGGGGAATCATAGTACTCCTCGCCGCTGCCCTCCGCCTCACCCCCTCTCTTCCTCTTCCCTCCGCCGGCGCCGGCGCCGTCGCCGGGCATTTCGAACTGCGCCGATGGGATGGAGGTGACGGCGTCCTGGAAGAAAGCGTAGTAGTCGGAGTAATCCTCGACGTTGGGGAGACCGGTGGGGTTCGGGTTGCCCAGGAAGTCGCTGCCGGCGTCGTTGGAATTGGGCGAGGGTGGGATTTTCATATATGAGGACTGCATCACATACCAGATCAACCCTGTCCTCCTCTCGGAACCCTAATTCGGAAAACCTGTAAAAGAAGAAGCTTTCTCCACCCGAAAGTCGCTGGAGTCAGAGACGAAGGGGAAGAAGAAGAAGAAGAGGATGACTGAGAGATGAGCCCGAGGGCTGCGGGTACAGATATATCTGCTGGTGGGGGGAGATTCCACGGACAAGAACGGGGGGGCAAGGTCGGTGCGTGTGAACGCGCTTTGGATGTTTCCGAGAGAGGTCGCAGCAGCGCCATCGTGGAGGGGCGGAGCTCGGCAATCCGCGGCCCACGCGGTTGCCGAGACCACCAAAGCGCACGAGGGGTCTCCATTTCCGCGTTTCTCCGCCGGCCTTCTGTGGACCCCGAAGCCAGCCAGCTCCCGTTGACCCCTTGGTCGCCGCTTCGTAGCGGCGGAATCGGCCCAGTCACTCCCTTCCCTCTTCTCTACGAAACGGTGAAAACTTATTCAAAACGTCCACTTGCAGGGCCCAAGAGCAGACACGTTGACCACCTATCCGCCCGCCCCCCTTCCAGCCGATTAGCTTATTCTTCTCAGTTTCTAACCCTTTCAAATAAATATATTAGATTATATTTCTCGTAACTCGACATATTTTGTATGTACCCCAGTCACCCTCACACATCTGCCCTTTCTTGGTCTAGCGCATAGGGGGGTTGACTTTGAGGCTAGTTGCTGAAAGTTTGAAAACATTCCCTTGTCGATCTGTTAATGTGGGTACGGTCTGTCCTGGTTAAATAATAATAATAATATAATTAGTATTGGATACATTTCGGTCAAATAAAAAAATGCTGAATGGTCTAAGGTTTTTCAACGCCTTCTTCAGGTTAAGCCCAAGATTGACAATAATTTAGTAATCATCTCGAATTTCAGATTTTTGTATCGTGAATTAGGTTTTCTTAGAACTTAATAATCCAGTAATCTAGCTCCTGAAATTATTATTATATTATTATTCATAATATTTTAATAAAATTGCGCACCCTTT